TTATATTAAACTAGTATTATATTAAATAATATTTACAGGTATTACAAGATTACAAGATTTGTTGACACATACTTGTTACGTATAAATTAAATATGTGAAATATTTTAAAATTATTAGTAAATATATTGTTCAAAACGGTGTAAAATTCAGCGCATCATGCAACACGCAGGTAGCGGCTGATGTCTCGCTCCGGAACTTTCCACACGGCATGCTCGATGGTCAAACGACCGACAAGTGACATTATTTGTTCCCTTTTTTTTCGAAAACAACTTTTGTTTGTCACTTGCTCGAACGGAAGTGCCGAGGCGAGATTTCGGTCGAAATGAGAGGGGAAGGAGGGGCGAGCCGACGCTGCTCGAGTCAGTCTTCTCGCAACCGACCCTCGCAGCACTTGCTAACGATTCGGTAACGCGGCTCGTACTCTCTTTTTAGCACTCGCTAAAGTCCGGCAACGCTACTATTGCGCTCGTTTTTCATAAGGCGGTCTTATTGGCAATACGCACTCTCGTGCGGTGCATTAGATCGCGCTTATCTCTGTAAATAGTGTACTTAGTTAAGTTTCGCGTCAAAGAATAAAAAGTGTTCGTGTACAAGTGCGTTCAATTTATTAACAGACACACATTTCCACGCTCGTTCTTATCTCTCGGCGTTTTTATTAAATCATCGCGTACACGGCTATTAAACATATATTCATATAAAATTTTTTTAATTTATATAAAATAGTTTACTATTAATAAATAATGTATTGTTAGCATGAATTAGAAGTATTATTTCCATGAGTTATGTATAAAAAACGGGCTCGCCAAGTATGCTGCTGGACATTTCTTCCCATCTTTGATTTTTCTGGCACGTAATTTGCTACTTATTATCGATGCAAAATCCCTTTCTAATTTCTGCGGCCCTCATTACACTATCTATTGCATTTCTTGTTTTTATTTTCTTTTGTTGCTATATTTATATTTTTTATGTTTTATTTAAATGTTTTCCGTTTTTTATATTAAGTCTACTACGATTGTGAGAGATAGCTTCTCAGAATATTGTACCATTACGAATTTCTTTAATAACTATTACCATTTGGGTTGGAATAGAAAGTGTTGAATAGGTATAAAGATAGGGTCCACTTGGGTTTTATTGTCTATAAATAGTTGTATAATTAAAAATAATTTTCAGTAATATACATATACTTTTTAATTTTTTGTAATGAAATTCCTTTTATGTCATATTGAAATATACAATACTACATATTATGTTTTAATGCATAAGTATGAAAGGTAGTACCACTTGGATTTTATTTGGTAATTTGGTATTTTTTTTTAGATATACTTTACAATATTAATTATTTTAATCAATATACTTGGAGTAACATTTTGATTTCGCTTCTTTTTCATGTCATTATTTTAGCTTGTGGCGGTACTGCCGTACCGACACAAGCACACGCCGTCCCGCGCGCCATTTTTACGGAGTAGCGCCTGAACAAGGGCTACCCGTAGTACAAGCAACTTTCGCGAGAGCGCTCCAAAGCAACGACTTTCTCGCGAGCGCCTTCCTGAAGAAAAAGGAAATTGTTTAAACAATTCGTCAGGAGGCTTCTTTTCTCGTAAGAGAAAAATGTTTCCGCGTGGTATAAATAGACCCGAATTCGACCACGGAAGGCAGACCTGGATCGCTCTCAGGACTCCGAGCATAAGCGAAGAGTATACTGACGAAACAACATCGAAGTTTTTGAGTATAACGATCTGCAAAAGGAAACCGCCAAACTGCCGTCGGTTTCAGCACCGCACCCCGGCTCCGCCGAAAGCCACGACGTTTGTCACGGAAGAAAACGGCACCCCGGAGGATTGCCGCGCCGAAACGAAAAGCCAAGCCATTGCTGTCGCCTATTACTCCGACAGGCAACGGGGTTGAGGACAACCAGGCTGCATGGAAATTGGTTCCTCTCGACTTATCTGCAGTGGCACGGACCCGACCACCAACGTGGGCACTACGTGAAACGGAATCGAGACTGAATCGACCAGTTTTCCCTCGTTGGGCATCTCCGGAGTGGTCCGTGGAAGACATCATCAACACACTCCAGGTACCGGATAGGATACCATCACTGTCACTGGAAGAGGCTACACCGCGGTCGAGGAACCAAGCCACACAAACGGAGCCTGAGACAAGCGACGGGGACTTAAACGCCAGAAGTCTACGCGTACGACAAGGGGACGCAAACATATAACGCATCGACACCTCAGCGTTATACCCGTACATTGCCCCGTATCTCATGATGCGAGCGGAGCTTGTAGCTCTCCGGCCATCACATCCATCGGTCCTTCTCAGGGCCAATAAAACAAATCAAACATATGCACTCTACACACACACAC